GGGATTGGTGGATTGAATGGTAGTTCTACGTTTAGTTCTTTGAGAAATCTCCATACTGTTTCCCATAGAAGTTGTACAAATTTACATTCCCACCACCAGTTTATAAGCATTCCATTTTCCTCCTCATCCATGCCAATATCTGTTATTTTTTTTACTTTTTAATAGTAGCCATTCTCACTGGTATCACATTGTGGTTTCGATTTGCATTTATTTCTGTGATGATTAATGATGGCGAGCATTTTGTCATATGTTTTTTGCCATTTGTATATCTTCTTTTAAAAAATGTCTGTTCATGTCCTTTGCCCACTTTTATTTTTTCATGAAACAATTTCAGAAGATAGTTTGCCCACTTTTTAATGGGGTTATTTGGGATGTTTTTTGTAGAGTTGTTTGAGTTGCTTGTAGATTCTGGATATTACTTCTCTGTCAAATGCATAGTTAGCAAGTATTTTTTCCCATTGTGTAGGTTGTCTGTTCACTCTGTTGATTATTTCTTTTGTTGTGCAGAAGCTTTTCAGTTTAAGTCCCATTTGTCTGTTTTTATTGCATTTTTGTTTTTGTCATGACCAGCCACTGGCAACAAGCTGAAATAGTCAGCCAAGTCCCCCGCCCCGGCAGTCTGTGCTCAGGTTGTGAAATTGCTCCAGGTTGCAAAACTCCCTGCTAGGAACAAAAACCATGGCTCCCAGGCCACACCCCTCCCAGTCTGTCCTTTGGAGTGATGGAATGCCTACCTACTGAGGCATGAGCCCACACCACACTTCTCAGTTCTGGCCATGAGGGTTCCTCCCTTACTCAAGATTAGAGTGAAGCTGAGGCGGGCGGATTGCTCAAGGTCAGGAGTTTGAAACTAGCCTGAACAAGAGCGAGACCCCGTCTCTACTATAAATAGAAAGAAATTGATTGACCAATATATAGAGAAAAAAAAAAATTAGCCGGGCATGGTGGCACATGCCTGTAGTCCCAGCTACTTGGGAGGCTGAGGCAGCAGGATTGCTTGAGCCCAGGAGTTTGAGGTTGCTGTGAGCTAGGCTGATGCCACGGCACTCACTCTAGCCTAGGCAACAAAGCGAGACTGAGTCTCAAAAAAAAAAAAAAAAGATTAGAGTGGGGAGTAGCAAATCTCAGTTTGGAGCGTCTCCCAGCCAGTGACTGTGGTCTGTGTTGGCTGGCAGATTTCTACACAGCCCCATATGAGTTAGGATCAGAATGGCTTCCTTATATTGGTGCATGGTCTGGGAGCACATTGCAAAGTACTTCTGATGCCGCCCCTTCTCACTGACTCCCCACTGTCCCGAAAGTCAGATCCAGCGCTTGGTAGGGTCAAGGAGCTCCCCCTGGCCTACATTGCCCAACTCCCCAGTGGGAACCTGCATTGAGAAGACAGACTTGCAATTTTCTGCTGAATCTGCAGTGTGGGCTGCTGCCTGCAGTATTTTTCAAAGTATCCAAAGTTTCTTTCATTTTTTTGTTGAGCTCCCGTGTTCCTTCTTGGATAAAAGTTCACAGTGTGAATCTCTACACACTATTTTGCTGTCTCCAAGTAGGTGAGGCATGCTAACAAAGCCTCTACCATCTTGGATAAAAAACCATCTGTTCTTAGAGTTTTCTTTCTGGGAAGTTTTTTTAAAATATTACTAATTCAATCTCTTGTTACAGAATTATTCAGATCGTTGTATTTCTTCTTCTTCTTCTTTTTTTTTTTTTTGAGATGAAGTCTTGCTCTGTTGCCCAGGCTGGAGTGCAGTGGCATGATCATAGCTCACTGCAGCATTGAACTCCTGGGCTCAAGTGATCCTCCTGCCTCAGCCTCCTGAGTAGTTAGGACTACAGGTATGGACCACCATGCCTGGCTAATATTGTTTTCTTATTTTTTGTAGAGATGGGATCTCACTACATTGCCTAGGCTTGTCTTAAACTCCTAGCCTCAAGCGATCCTCCCCCGTCAGCCTCCCAAAGTGCTAGGATTACAGGTGTGAGCCACTGTACCCAGCTAGATTTTTCTATTTCCTCTTGAGTTAGTCTCAGTAATTTGTGCTTTTTAGAAACTTGTCCATTTTATCTAGGTTATCTAATTTATTGGCATACAATTGTTCATCATATTCCCTTATAATCCTTTGTTTCTGTAAGGTTGATAGTAATGTTCTCTGTTTCCTGATTGTAATAATCTGAGTTCCTTCTCTCACTCTTGTTCTTACATGTTCTTGCTCTCACTCTCTGGTTCTTGCTCTCTTTGGTTTTTTTTTTATCTTTTTGGCTAGGCTAGCTAAAGATGTTTTAATGTTTTTGGTCCTTTTTTAAAAAAAAAAATCTTTTCAAAGAACCAAACTTTGGTTTTGTTGATTTTCTCTATTTCTATTCTCTGTCATTTTCTGCTTGTGCAGAGCCTCAAGATTAGCCAGAGGTGAAGGCTTAGGTCTTTTCTGTCCTTTTCTAAGCATACATACAGCTATGAGTATGCATAAAACTGTATGCTTATAGATGGCCTTCTAGGTTTCCAGGAATGTGTCAAGGTTTTTCAAAACCCCCAGCTTTGCTTTTAACCCTTTGTCAGCATATTCTTTGGCACAGCTGCTATCCACCTCCTCGGATAGCCACGTGTTCAACAACTGCCTCTTTTTTCAACAAACACTCCTGGGGACAAGGCTGTTTACACTAGATGAACTCTGTGTCAGGTCAAATAAAGACAGCCTTGTGGGAGGAGTCTTCCAGGGAATCACCAGATGGGTCATATCATGAGACAATTCTCTGGGAATGGGGCTTTGAAGGAGCTCCAACCCCATTCTGTTCCCTCTGGTGGTTGCTAGGTTACTAGTTTTCACCATGATGACTGAGTGTTGTTCCCCTGAAACTGGGAGGGGGAATGGGAATGGGGCAATTTAAATTGCCACAGAGCTCACTGTTCTTGCTGAGAATCAGTCATTTTCTTATATAAATGCTACTTGAATTGCTGTAAGCTCTTGGTTAATTTCCAGAGTTATGAAAAAATTGATTCTGATGATTTTTTTCTTTTTTCTTAACCCAATTCTGATGATTTTTAACAGTGTTCTTGTTGCTTTTATAGAGGAGAGCATTTTTGAAAGTCCTTACACTGCTATTTTCACTATATCCCTTTCATTATGGATTATTGCACAGGAAAGTGATGGATTAAAACCAAGGTTGAAATCAAACATTGTTCCAGAGATGGCAAGGAATTGACATACTTAATATACAAATCTATAAGAAAGGTGTTAAAGTATAAAAATAAGCAATGGACATGAAAGGACTAGTCACAGAAGAGAAAATATGAATTGATAATAAAACCTGAAAAAGAAAGTTCAACCTCAAAGAAATTCAAATTAAAACAGTGAGATACCATTTTCACTATCAAATCAACAAAGATGATTATAATTATTAAAATTCTCAATATTGGCAAAGGTGCAGTGAAATAAACATTCAAACACTATTGGTCCAAAATATAAATTGGTACTGTCTTTCTGGAATTTAATTTGGCAATAATATCAAGTCTTTAAAAAAATATCCTTTTGACCAAATAATTTGATGTCTAGATATGTATCCTGAGAAAATAGTATAACATTTGGATGAAGATTTATATACAAAGATATCCATTGCAGTGTTATATATTAATATAATAGTAAAAAATTAGAATTAACCTAAATGTCCAACAATAGTGTCACAGTTGAGTTCACATCTGGACTTTGAAGTATTTCCCCAGTTCTTGGGGTCCTGGCTTGGAGGAATGGCAAGCTTTGGCCCATGAAATGGAGAGAGGTGACAGACACTCAGCAAGTATGTGTGAAGAATTTATTGTAAGGAAAGTTTAAGGGTGCAAAGCCAAAGTACATTTCCTGAGGGAAAATGGACTATCTCCACAAGTGGAGAAGACACTGTCTACTTCTGTGTTTTTCCTTTTATATGTTAGGTTTAGGTAAAGATTAGTTATAACTATTCATAACTATATGTCCCTGTTTGGGGGACTGGATTCTTTCTATGTTTGGACATGACTTAAAAGTTACGTTCCAGTAATTCTTTCTAGTATATGTATGATGGGGAAAGTTCCATAACCGTTTACAGTGTTTTTTCATTCCCTGGTGGTCAGTGTTTCATGGCCTAATTACCCCATTCTTTAAGACTGAAATAACTGTTCCCTTTTTTGTTTTTTATGCAACCATTTCCTCCTTATTGGTTTTCTATAACTGCTTTCTCCTTTCTGTTTTTCTGATTTCCATTACCTCTCACTTGTTTTTCTGTCCCTAACAATAGTGGAATGGTTAAATAATTTATATTATATCCATCTTAGATTATTTTACAATCATTAAAAATACTGTTTTAAAAGAATATTTAATGGCACCAAATATGAACAATATAGTGTTAAGTGAAAAAATATTTAGTATATAATTTTATACGCATTTTAGAAGGAGAAATCTAAAAGACGTTTTATAAGAAACTCTAGGATATGAAAAAAAATTGGATGTAGCAGATAATAGGATTTCTAACATGATCAAAATTAGAATAGGTAAGAATTCTACTTGATATGGGAAAGACAATGTTTAGTTTTGAACATAATTGAGAATGATGGACATTGAAAGGCTATTTTTCTATGGGTAGTTGGAAATACAGATGAAGTTTGTTTTCTCCAGTTTTAGTATGTTCTTAAAAATTATGTGGGTTTTTCTCAGATTTGTGGTAATTAAAGTTTTTGACCCATTGAAATTAGTCTAAATTAGAAAGATTTTACTTACTGTGTTGTATATTCATGATATTACTGCTTCATACTGCTTCATTTTCCTTGAATGTTGCTGTATAAAATAATTGATTATCAAATGTTAGCCTGACTTCACCTTATTTTGCTCTGGAGTGGCTCAGAATTCTCATGTTTCCACTGTTACTTATACTTACTATTCTCAGTTCTTATTACTGTTGAAAACTACTGTGTTTGAAGAAGTATAGTTATTACCTGATTAATATTGACTTTTTAAATTTTTTTCTATGAATTTTAGGCAATGAACATTTTGACTTCAATGCTACTTCTATATGCAAAAGAAGAAGAAGCTTTTTGGCTTCTGGTTGCTGTATGTGAACGAATGTTGCCCGATTATTTTAATCGTCGAATCATTGGTAAAACAAACAAACAAACAAAACATACTTTTAAACATACACATAGATACAAACACATATTTCTTTTCTAAATAATTTCAGTGTCTCTTGTCTATCCAATCACTAATCAAATAGAAGAACTAATGATTAGGTTATTAAGTATGAAATGTCCAATTTCCTTAAGTACTAAATTTGACAGTTGATATCTCTGACATTTCACTTTGACACTTCTTGTTTTAATTTTATCATGAAGGTACATCCCCAGTCTTGCAAACACACAGTTTAGCTTGTGATTATCTTTCAAATTTTTTTTAGAGTAATGTTTGTGAAACCATGAATCAGTAAAAAATTTGTGAATAAGTAAAAAATTTTCAAATATGAGTTCCATCGTGGAACCAATGTAGCACAGACAGCTCAAAATATCAACGAAGTGTTTTGGAAGGATGTGGCTAATGATGGTTTGAGAAGTTATGTTCTGGTGATTTTCTTCTTGAAAATGAGCCATGTGGGCAACCTGAGACCAAAGTGGGTAATGAACAGCTGAAAGCTGTAGTGGAAGCGAATCCATCTCAGCCTACATGTGAATTAGCAGCAAGGTTTGATGTTGAACCATTTGAAACAAATCAGCAAGGTAAAGAAGTTGGATAGATGAGTTCAACATGAATTTAACAAGCGTCAGAAGAGAAACTGTCTCAAAGCCTGCCTTTCTTTCCTATCACGACATAAAGGCAAACCGTTTCTACACTGTAGTGTTATGTGTGATGAAAAATGGATTATTTTTTATAATCACAAGCATTCAGCACAATGGTTGGATAAAGATGAAGTACCTAAACAGAGTCCAAAACCGAATAGTCATCAAAAAAAGCCAATTTTGTCTGTTTGTTGGTCCAGTGCTGGTATTATCCACTATAGCTTCATGAAACCTGGTTGGTCAATTACAGTGGATGTCTGCTGCAAGCAATTGGACAAAATGATGAGGTTGCTTGCGATTAATAAGCCAAGATTGGTCGATAGAGACAGGCCAATCCTCTTGTAAGACAGCACTCAACCACATATTGCACAAACAACGCTGCTCAAACTATAGAAGATGGACTTGGAAACTCTCTGTCATCCACAGTATTCACCAGACCTTGCACCAACTGACTACCAGTTCTAGGCTTTGGACCACTTCTTACAAGGAAAAATATTCAGTTCTCAACAAGCTGTGGAAAACACCTTTCATGATTTCATTGCTACTTGCTCTCCACGCTTCTTGGCTGCTGATATAAACAAGCTACCGTTAAGATGGAAAAACCGCGTTGATAGGCACATACTTTGATTAATTGTACTTCTTCTTGTTTGAGATATAATAAACTATACTTTTGATTTGAAATTGGACATTTCATATTTAATGACCTAATAGGTTATAATATACAATGCAGGCAATTTCAAAATGTCACATTCACTGATGTTCTCAAAGTAAGAGCTTTTTGTACTGAATGTATAGTTGTAAAGATTATTTAATATGTTGCTTTTTAAATAAAATACCTGGTCTATTTATTAATAAAATGGAAATGTTAAGTTTATAGTCTCGGAAACAAGAGTAATTTGAAGTATCTAGAGCTACCAGGGAATTTTAATAGTTTTCTTGATGGGAGAGAGATTTTAATCAGCTTAAAATCTCCACATTTATATGAATTATTTAGATATTTGCAAGGTTTGAAAGAAGGACAAATTCTTATTCTAATTGTATAATATTTTCTCCAGTCATCAAATATTTATAGGCCTGTGATCTGTTGCCTTAAAACTCATGGATGGTCTCTCCTTTGTACCCTCATAAGCTTTCAGTGTTGTGGCTAGATCATTGATTGTACTGTCATTTGTTATTGTTATTGGTGTGTTTATCTTAAGTTCTAGATATTAAATTCTCTGAAGGTGAGACCATTTTATTAATTGGTATATCTCTTATAGTACCTACTACAGGTCTCTGCATATAATAAAGACTCAAATAACTCTTCAAATGAGTTTGAATTGTGTTTCTCAAGTCCTTCTAAATATGTGACACTCTACCAGCAGACAGAGGGATGCATGAAAAATAGAAAAGGCACTGAAGGAGTTCATAATTTAAGGGAGAGGGATGAGATATATCAGCATGCTAATAGACGTGGGGAGGTATTGAAAACAAGTCCTTTTGAAAGATGTTTACTGTTAAACTTCTTTTGATATTCTCTAGGTGCCTTGGTGGATCAGGCAGTCTTTGAAGAACTTATCAGGGATCACCTCCCTCAGTTGACAGAACACATGACTGATATGACATTCTTTTCCTCAGTTTCTCTCTCATGGTTTCTCACACTTTTTATTAGTGTGCTACCTATTGAAAGTGCAGTGAATGTAGTGGACTGTTTCTTCTATGATGGAATAAAGGCCATTTTGCAACTGGGATTGGCAATACTTGACTATAATTTAGACAAACTGCTGACTTGTAAAGATGATGCTGAAGCCGTGACAACTTTAAACAGGTATTGTAAGAATCATAACATTTAAATCTGGAGAGGATCTGGGAGATTATGTTGTTCAGTTCCCTTATTTTTCAGAGGAAACTGTGCCCTAGAAACGTCAGTTTGCCCAAGGTCACAAACTAGTTGAATGAAAGAGCTAAGCCTAAAGTCCAGTCCTCTGTCTCCAAATAGAATATAACCAAAGTAAATCATTACTTTGAGGTGAACCATTAGGTTATATACATATTTACACTAATATTGTTGATTCAGTATGCTGAGACTTTCTATAGCGTCTCTGTGTAAAAGTAATTTGAGTAGGGGAAAAAGTAGTCGATAATGTTAAATATCCGGGGGGGCGGGGGGAAATGTTCTGCTTCCCATGTGGTTTTAGTCAGGGAAGTTGAATTTTATTTTCTTTTTTTAAAAATAAATTTATTTTTAATTATGGGTATATAACAGTTATATATATTTATGGGGCACATGTGATGTTTTGATACAGACATGCAATGCATAATAATCAAATTAGGGTAAGTGGAATATCCATCAACCTCAAGCATTTATCATTTGTTTGTGTTAGGAACATTCCAATTCTCCTTATTTATTTTAAAGTATACCATAACTTATTGTTGACTATAGTCACTTTGTTGTGTTACCAAATATTGTTCATTCTGTCTAACTGGTTTTTTGTACCTATTAACTATCCCCACTTTATCCCCTCTCCCCAGGGTAGGGGAACTTTATTTTCCTAGTGGCTTTTGTATGAATGCTCTTTTGTATTGGAGCACGTGTGTTCTGTGTGTGTGTATGCGTGTGCACATGTTTGTATATGTTGAATGAATATTTGAATGGGCAACTATATAATGCTACATCAAATCCCATTATGTACACAGTAAAATACACATGCCTCACTCTGGCATTCAGAACTCTGTGATAAGTCCTCAATGTACCTTTCTTCACTTATTTCCTATTATGTGCCTCTATATATCCTGTATTCCATTCTTACTGGGCTATGTGGTATATGCTGAGTACTCTCTGAGCCTATTTGCTTCCTTCATGCTCTCCTCCCCCATCCCAAAATGATTTCTTCACCATCCCATTCCCCACCACCCATTTCCTCCCAATTCCCAACCATCTACGAATTCCACTTCTTCATAAGACCTTCCCTTGTCCTCTTAGTTGAAATTAACCTCTAACCAGGGAGAAATTAACTGTCATTTTCTCTGCGTTAATAATTTTAGTTCACTAATTCTTGTATTACTATCACTTTGGATAGGTTCTTTGACAATGTCACTAATAAGGATAGCCCATTGCCTTCAAGTGTTCAGCAGGGTTCAAATGTGAGTGATGAAAAAAGCAGTCATATTAGAGTGGATATTACAGATTTGATTAGAGAGTCAAATGAGGTAAGTATTTTTATACCATAAATATATTACATAGCATATTTAAAATGATTGATACTATAGTTATATCTCTAGTAGTATATTAAGAGTAAGATAATAATACAAAGATACAATTTAAAATGCAACTTCACTTTAAAAATGAAGTTGTGGGCCGGGCGCGGTGGCTCACGCTTGTAATCCTAGCACTCTGGGAGGCCGAGGCGGGCGGATTGCTCAAGGTCAGGAGTTCAAAACCAGCCTGAGCGAGACCCCGTCTCTACTATAAAAATAGAAAGAAATTAATTGGCCAACTAATATATATATATAAAAAATTAGCCGGGCATGGTGGCTCATGCCTGTAGTCCCAGCAACTCGGGAGGCTGAGGCAGTAGGATTGCTTAAGCCCAGGAGTTTGAGGTTGCTGTGAGCTAGGCTGACGCCACGGCACTCACTCTAGCCTAGGCAAGAAAGCGAGACTCTGTCTCAAAAAAAAAAAAAAAAAATGAAGTTGTGAACTAATCCTAGGTTGTATAACCTCCTCTGTCCCAATTTGCTTTTTATTAACTAAAACTAAATTTACTTGCTTTCACAAATAATGACCACTTTTAAATATCTCTCACTGTGTAAAAAGGTGAATTATTTTCTCTTCTTATTAATCTCAGAGACTAAGAATTTTACCAATGTTCTTGTACTTAGTCTAGACACTTAGTATGTGGAATTATCTCCAATGAATATATATGAAAACTGAAACATGGGAGGTGAAAATTCACAAAATCACTGAACAAGTCAGGAAAATAGCTAGAAATGGAACCAAGGCCTCCAAGAATTGAGTCTGATGAATTGAATTGTAAGAGGAGAAGTGGATATTTATTATAAATGAGTATCCACTGAAATTGTATTTCTTGCAGAAATATGGTAATATTCGCTATGAAGATATACACAGTTTGCGCTGTCGAAATAGGCTGTATGTGATACAGACCCTAGAGGAAACAACAAAGCAGAATGTGGTGAGTATGCACCCACTGGCGTAAAGGCAGGTGGAGTAACTTTTTTTTTCTTTAATTTTCTTTAGAAATTATTCTGTGTGAATAAAATGAAAAGGGCTAAACTTTTGAGCCAGATTCTTGCCAAGGTTTAGTTTATTGTAAAGTTTTTGAGAGGAAATAAATTATTTTCTTCTGGTTGAATTATGTTGCTTTCTCCAACATGTTTTGTGTTATTTGACCTTCAATAGCCCTGCAATACACTATTGAATGCTATGATGTAGGCATTTAAGCATAACGTTTGTGATGTGCTGCATCAATAAGAACAGATGATCTATGTAGTAATCAATGCTGCTAAAAATATTATCCTTGGACACCTAAGGTAAAGTGAAAAAGGATATAAAATAGTGTGTTTTAAGTACTTGCCTTTTTAGTATTTGGATGTCTCTTTAAGAAGCTGTTAATATTGGTTGCCTCTGCTGAGTGGGAAAATAGATTGCTGGTCAGAATGAAGAGGGTTTTACTTTGCTTTTTATATTCTTCTATGCCGTTTGAGCTTTTATCATGAGTGTATGTTGTTTTTGTAAACCTACTTACTTAAAGGCCAGGTCCTCAGAGATACAAATCTGGGAACATTAACATTTCTGAAGATTCCAGGTTTAGATTTCAATTAAATAATTCAGAGATGTTACTGTGACATAGTTAGCATAGGAGCCCCCTTGTTTTAGTTTTTCTGTATATTAACCTAAAAAAATTACTGAAGCAGAGCATGTCCATTTTCAATAATGCAAGCATTACAAAAAATGTAAAATGTAAAGGTTCCCTACCCTAGGAGTAACCATCTTAAAATAATTTGGCATATATCCTTCCAGATCATTTTTCTATGTGTCTGCACACATAAATGTATATGGATGAGCATATAGTCTTTGAAATGAGATTGTACCAGTCACTTTGTTCTGTAACTTTTTTTACTCAGAAATATGTCATAGTCATTATGTATCAGTACATATAGATCTGCCTCACTCTTCTTAATGCACCATAGTATAGATATCCTATATTTATTTAACTATTCCCTGTTAATATACAGTTAATATGTCCCTCCTTTTTCTCTCCTCTTACAAATAATACTTTATGTAAACATCTTTGTACATATAGTCTTTGTAAAAGTATTTCTGTAAGATAGATTCCAGGAGGTGGAAGCTGGGTAAAGGGTATGCCCATTTAAAATTTGACAGGTTGTGCCAAATTATCCTCCACAAGATATGTACTAAATTGTAATCCAACCAACAATGTATAAGAATGCCCTTTTCCCCACACTGTCACTAACACCAGATATTAAAAATATTTGGTTTGTGCCAATTTGATAGATAAAAAAATCAAATCTCATTTTGCTGATTGTATATTTTTCTTCTTTTGAGACAGGGGCTCTCTCTGTCACCCAGGCTAGAGTGCAGTGGCACAAATCATAGCTCACTGCAACTTCAAACTCCTGGGCTCAAGCAATTCTCCTGCCTCAGCCTCCTGAGTAGCTGGGACTACAGGCACGCGCCACCACATCTGGCTAATTTTTCTATTTTTTTGTAGAGATGTCATCTAACTCTTGCTCAGGCTGGTCTCGAACTCCTGGCCTCAAGCAATCCTTCCACCTCAGCCTCCCAGAGTGCTAGCATTACAGGCGTGAGCCACTGCACCCGGCCATTGATCATAAATGTTCATTAGCCTTTTTCATTTCTTCTGCATTGCCTGGTCATAGCCTTTGCCCATTTTTTCTATGAGATTGTCTTTTTCTTATTGATTTTTTTTTTTTTTTGAGACAGAGTCTCGCTTTGTTGCCTAGGCTAGAGTGAGTGTCGTAGCATCAGCCTAGCTCACAGCAACCTCAAACTCCTGGGCTCAAGCAATCCTCCTGCCTCAGCCTCCTGAGTAGCTAGGACTACAAGCATGCGCCACCATGCCCGGCTAATTTTTTCTATATATATTAGTTGGCCAATTAATTTCTTTCTATTTATAGTAGAGACGGGGTCTCGCTCTTGTTCAGGCTAGTTTCGAACTCCTGACCTTGAGCAATCCGCCTGCCTCAGCCTCCCAGAGAGCTAGGATTACAGGCATGAGCCACCGCACCTGGCCAGAAGCTCTTTGAATATTTGTGGTATTAATTCTTTGTCAGTTATATTTGTGGCCTAATATTTCCCCCTAGTCTTGCTGTTTCTTTCATTTTCTTCATGTTATCTTTCAGAGTAATACAAGTTACAAATTTTTATGTAGTTGAGTCTACTCTTTTTTCTTTCATAGTGTCTGGGTTTCATATCAAACTTAGCAAGGCTTTCCCTATTTAAAATTATATAAATTATAAAAATGCTTTCTATAGTACTAGTATTGCTTTTTTTAACATTTAGAACTTTGATACATCTAAAGTATATTTTTTATTTATGATGTGAGACAGGGTTCTAAATTATTTTTTTCCAACCAAAATCACCCATTGTCTTAAAACCATTTATTAAATAATCTATTCTTACTATATTTTTTTAAGATGCTAAATTCTTATATACATGGGCTTTATTTCTGGACTTGTTTTGTTTACTACAACAGTATTACACTGTTTTAATTACTGTAGCTTTGTCCATTTTGAAATCTGACAAGGCTGTTAAAATTCCTTTTTAATATCCATTTTAGTGATCTGTCTTTTTGAATGTCCTTTAGTAAGCATTTATAATTTTCATCATGTAGGTCTTATACATTTCTTATTGAATCTCTTTTACACCTATGTATTTTATGGTTTTGCTGCTAATATGAATGAGATCATTTTTCCTTTACATTTTCTAATTGTTGCTGTGTATGTAAAAGCTATTGATGTGAGTTTGTTGCTTTTCTGAGTGGCCACGTTACTGACTGCCATTAATTGTAGTATTTTTTCCGTTTACTTTCTCAAGTTTTCTGAATAGACAGGCATATCATTTCCAGTCTTAGAATTTTTACTCTTCCTAGTATTTATATCTCTTTTCTTTTTTTGTGTGTTAAATTGCATTAGATAGGATCTTCAGAGAGGTATAGAAGAACAACAATAGAAACAGGTTTTCCTTGTCTTATTCCTGAATTTAATAGGAATGCCTCTAGTATATTGTAGTTAATTTCTGAAAGATGTCCTTTATCAAAGTAAGGAAATTTTATTCAGTTTCTAGGTTAAGAGGTTTGGGACATTTTTTTTAAAATCAAGATTGAGTGTTAACTTTGATCAAATGACTTTTCTATATCTTGAGATTATATGTTTTTCTACTTTATTAATTTAAATTTTATTAAAGAATTCCTTATATTAGACTTGTATTCTTTTTATTTTTTTTATTTTTTTTATTTTTGAGACAGAGTCTCACTTTGTTGTCCAGGCTAGAGTGAGTGCCGTGGCGTCAGCCTAGCTCACAGCAACCTCAAACTCCTGGGCTCAAGCAATCCTCCTGCCTCAGCCTCCCGAGTAGCTGGGACTACAGGCATGCGCCACCATGCCCGGCTAATTTTCTATATATATATCAGTTGGCCAATTAATTTCTTTCTATTTATAGTAGAGACGGGGTCTCGCTCTTGCTCAGGCTGGTTTTGAACTCCTGACCTTGAGCAATCCGCCCGCCTCGGCCTCCCAAGAGCTAGGATTACAGGCGTGAGCCACAGCGCCCGGCCTTAGACTTGTATTCTTGAAATGAATTCTATTCAGTCATTTATCCTAATCCTATTTTAGAGGTATTTAATCCTATTTAGATTTGTTATTCTTTGAATATTCTGCTTTAATAATTTTGCCAAATGGATTCTTTGTATCTTTGTTAAAATGACATTGGTGTTTTCTTCAAATTATCTGTTACCTGAAGGTTTGAGAAAACAAGCTGGTAAAGCCATCTTGATCTGGTGTCTTTGGGTTTGTTGCCTTGAAAATCTGTGATTTCCTTTTCAGTTCTGTCTATTCAAATTTTTTTGCTTTTCTGAGTCAATTTTGGTCATTTATATTTTCTTATGGAATTAACTATTTTGTTTAGATTTATACACACACACCACACACACACACACACACACACATATATATAGGTATAAAGCTTATGGAATTCATTCAACAAATATTTAATGATTCTGTCTATGTCCTGGGTACTTCTAATGATCTCTTCAGCCATGCTTATATTATCCTTTTCTTCTCAATGAAGTTTGTGATTTCTTTTATCTCGCTTGACAGAGATTTGTCTATTTTACTTATTTTTTCAATTAACCAACTCTTCTACTTATTAAATTTACTGTATTTTTTAAAAAGTTTCTCCTGTTTAATTAATTCTAGCTTTTCTTTACCTTGCTTTTAAATTTCTTAAATACCATAATGATTGTACTGTTAGTGCCTATTCTTCATAGAGTAGGATGAAATCACATATTTTCTAAGCTTATTACTTCTTGGGTTATGTTTTTTGACACAGAGAGGAAATGTATATCTGCCATTGCCTTTGAAGTATTTAATGACAACCCCTCATGATGACTTGACACATTGCTTATGTGACAAGAGAGACTTAGAATGAAATGAATGCTGTTACTTATATTTATAGACATTAAGTGGCTGTCCTTTGGTGGTGATTTCTGGGTATGAAGAGATGAATGTTGAAGTATGTATCAGAGTAGAATTGAACTGTAGTCTATGTACAGCTTTTTAAAAGGGTAAAAATAGATGCTCTTACCTTAATTATTCCTTTAAAAAGTTAAAAGAAAATATTTTCTTCTGTCAGAGGGAGACCCTAGTGGATTCAAAGAGAATTTCTATACCAAAGTGTTAAATTCTAAATTGTTTTTAATATTTTTAACAGTTGCGTGTTGTATCACAAGATGTGAAATTGAGCCTTCATGAATTGGATGAACTTTATGTCATCTTTAAGGTACTGCTGTTCTTTAAATAAAAAATAATACCCTTTTAGCAGAATTGTATCACAACCACTCTTAAATATTTTATCTTTATTTTAGCATATGTGTTTTTTTTTAAAAAATCTTCCAAAATTACTTTTCTGATTTAATGACTTTCTCTTTTTTATTTGTTTTTAATAGAAAGAGCTATTTTTATCTTGTTATTGGTGTTTGAGTTGTCCGGTATTGAAGCACCATGACCCCAGTCTGCCATATTTGGAACAGTATCAGATTGACTGCCAGCAGTTCAGAGCGTTGTATCACTTGCTGAGTCCCTGGGCTTATTCTGCAAACAGAGATTCACTAGCTTTATGGACATTCAGATTGTTGGATGAAAACTCTGACTGCCTTATAAACTTCAAAGAATTCTCCTCTGCAATTGGTAAGATGATGTCCAATAATTTTTAAGCAAAAAATAAAGGTGCTCCTATAAATATTTAGTACTGCCTATTATTTGCCAGTTTAGTCAGATTATATCCCTGGGTTACATTATTTCCAGCTTTAGTAATAAATGGACCTTTTCCTGTGTTTGTTGCTAAATCTAAGTATATTGATCACATTTTGCCCCAAATCTTAAATATGGATGTTTTAAGAGTTAACACAAATGAAGAGAATATCTAGATTTCCCCACACTCATAGGCATGGATGCTATAGAAAGACTTTCCCCTTCAGTAAAAATCCAACCACATGGCCTAGAAAAGTGGCAGAGAAATACTCAACAAATAAGTTGTACCTACAAATAGTCAATATGTTATACCTGTAGATATCGTTCCTTTGCTTTTCCAGATACCACAGCATGCTTTCTTATCAGGGATTGATTGCTCCTTAAGAGCATTTCTCTCCTCAAATGAGGTAGAAGGCCTCATTCGAAAGAAAAAAACAATCTGAGTTGGGGGAAAGGAGATGGACAGGATAGCATTTTATCCCTTTGGTAAAGAGTATTCTGCTTATATATTTAAAAAAGAGAATCTGACTAACGGAGTGGTTGTTTAACTGTTAACTTAAGTAACAGAAGGTTTCTGAATTCTAATTTCTGGCTAATATTTTTATCTTAATTAATTTCTGTTGCTGGAATTGGTTGAATGTTCTTTGGATACATGATTATTTGCAATTGAATTTCATTGAACAGACATAATGTACAATGGAAGTTTTACTGAGAAGCTCAAGCTGCTTTTTAAGCTTCATATTCCTCCAGGTAAGAGTTTAACAGTCTTTAATGATGTACGGGAGGAATTGATTCCATTTTAAAAAGTATTACAGCTATTCCATTTTAACATAATTTTCAATCTGATGCAAGGTCACTGCTTCATTGTGGTCCTCAAATCATATTACCACTACTTTTGCTGATATAGATGCAGTGAAATCTATGAAAGAGATTCTGTGTAACAGATGAGTCTTTAACTTTCCTTCCTGTTAGTGGCCATTCAATTTAATGATAAATAGTTTGTATATAAGAATTACATATCATTTGAATATGACATGTAATTTGAATATGATACATAATTTGAATATTGGTATACTGTTCCTTTTTTTTTTTTTTTTTTTGAGACAGAGTCTCACTCTATTGCCCAGGTTAGAGTGCCGTGGCATCAGCCTAGCTCACATCAACCTCAAACTCTTGCGATCCTTCTGCCTCAGCCTCCCAAGTAGCTGGAACTACAGGCATGTGCCACCATGTCCGGCTAATTTTACCATCAGCCTAGCTCACATCAACCTCAAACTCAAGCGATCCTTCTGCCTCAGCCTCCCAAGTAGCTGGAACTACAGGCATGTGCCACCATGTCCGGCTAATTTTTTCTATATATTTTTAGTTGACCAATTAATTTCTTTCTATTTTTAGAAGAGACAGGGTCTCGCTGTTGCTCAGGCTGGTTTCGAACTCCTGACCTTGAGCGATCCTCCTGCCTCGGCCTCCCAGAGTGCTAGGATTACAGGCATGAGCCACCACGCCCGGCCTGAATTTTTGTTGTTATTAGGATAGAAATTAACTTTAGACAAACTGCCAAACTTGTAAAATTCTATAAATTATTCAGAAAAATGGGACCAGTCAGCAGGGATATTAAATATTTGGAAAAGGAAGCAAAATAAAAGCTATCATTTATTGTGTACTTGCTCTGTCAAGACAATTACTTTAAATGCATTCTTTTATTTAATCTTCCCAATATCCCTAAAAACTGGTATTATCCTTCCAATTTTTTGATAAGGAAACTGAAAGTTGGAAATATTAAATTATTTGCTCAAGATCACATAGCTAATAAATTGCATAGCTGGGATTCAAACTGAGGTCTAGCTCATTCCAAGGTTCGTGTTTCTTTCTATTTTACCATACCCTCAAAGTTACCACACCATTCTAGTTTAGTTTTTTCCCCACTGACCTTAAGAGGCTGCCTTTCAAAGGCCTGAGCCCTACTTTGAGAAAACAGGCGTTCAACTGAAGGAATATTGCAAAAAGCACCTTTTAGCTGAGGTAGGGTAATTTACAGAAACAAACAGCACTTCATTTGTCTAAAGCTACATACACATGGGATCCCTTTTAAACTCAGGATAGCCAGGAAACATTATTTACCAGACCAACAGGCTAAAACCATCTTTAAACCTTCACACATTCAAATCACAAACACAACATTAAAAACAAAAAACAAACCATTTAATAATTTAAATTATAAAAGTTTACATTGTCAAGTCAGGTTGCTGTTAGAATGTTTAATATTGTCATTGAATATGCTTTTAATAGATTAAAAATAGGAAAAACATGTATTAAAGCACAGGTAGACAGTAAAACAGTGTACTCAACTTCATTTTTCTTATTGAGGAAGCTTAAATGGCAGAAGTCACATTTTCAGAAATTTTCAAATGCTACATTTTCTTATTTCAACTTGTAATTGCTCTTGGAAAATAATTAAAAGACATGTGGGAGAATAATAAAACTCAAAGTGTTCAAGCACTTTTTGTCATTTACTATACAGTAGAGTAGTACCCCTTCCACATTTCTTCACTTATGTCTCTCTTATCCAGAAATCCTTGGTTTAACTCCCTGTTCCCAAATTTACCTGACCCATTATGAACCCCATCTCTGTAGCTCATTGTTACTAAATATAATTTGGGTTATATGTTTTCAGCTTACACTGAAGTGAAATCTAAGGACCCTTCAAAAGGAGATGAACTTTCCAAGGAAGAATTACTTTATTTCAGTCAACTCCACGGTAAATATCTGTTTTAAAGTTTAACTGTTTTGATGATTAGTCACCCATAGAGATCTTCCTGGCTTAGATATTCTTTACCTAACTACTACTAGTAAAATTTGGGTTCATTTTACCTTATACATTTACACTACAATAGTACTTAGCATAGTTCATAAATATTGGACTGATTAACCAAATTCACTTTAGGGCTTTGATTTATAAAATTTCTTATTTTTTGGAAAAATCAAAAAGAAAATGTATTTTGTTTCTAAGTATGTTGTAGAAATTTCTGAAAGTTATCAGACCATTTTCATGCCTGATAAAATACAGTGAAGACAATAGAATCTTTGATGATTAAAGGTCATGGATATTATTCAAATAGTGAATACTCATTATAAATCACTGTAGGTGTAGGAAACAGGGATGAATCTGTCACCAAGACATAATTTAAGTGATATGAGCTTATTTTATGTCTTTTGCTTCATTTTCATAAATATGCAATGTCTTATAAAGGGATAAGTCCTGATTAATGTATGTTGTGCTTACTATATGTTAAAGCGTTTTGAACATTAGGTTTGAAGACACTGCACAAATCACCTAGTAAAGTCCCTTCATTTTATAGATAAAGGCACTAAGGCCCAGGGAGAAGTGACTTCTGCAAGGTTTCACAATGAGTTATTGCCACAATCAGGACTTGTAGCTCAGTCTTCTGACTTCCAATGTGTTTTTATTTTCCTGATAATAAAAGTAATATAATTTTATTTGAAGAAAGTCACAACGAAGAAAATACTACCCAGAAATAAATACTTAATATTTTGTTTACTTCTATTTTTTTTAATATGGATTTTCCCCCAGTGTTCTTTTTACTAAGAAAGTTCTTGAGTACTTTGTCTTCTAATGATAGGAGGTCAGGTCAGCTAAAATTGGTTTGCTGAATTGAAGAAAATAACATGCTTTTATTATTATTGAAGTAAAATATTATTTCACTTTCAAATATATTTGTTCTATATTTTACAAAATACAATTACCCTCTTTTCCTCTAGTTTCCAAGCCTGCAAATGAGAAGGAAGCAGAATCAGTAAAAAACAGCCCTGAAAAAGGTACTATGATCTAGGGATATAATTTAGTTTATTAAGTTATTGTTTTGTGAATAAGGATAATTACAAAGGAGAAAAAAGTGAATTCTTTTTAAAGGCTATTGGTTTGTCATGAGAGCTTTTTAAGTTCCTTTGTGTTAATTTAATAATTTATTCTTTTTTCTCTTGATTCTTAAGTCTTAGAAGTTATAGAAAATGTAATAGTAAATGACCTATATTCATTTAATTTTTTATTTTTAAGTATTTTTAATTATAAAAGTAATAGATAATTCTTATAAAAGAAATTCAGATAGTGCGTAGTCCTTCTATCTTCACCCAACCCCACCCAGAAGTAAAGGCTGAAAATATTTTTGTCTATATCCTTTCCAGACCTGTCTCTATGTATATGTAAACATATGTAGACATCTCTTTTTTTAAAAAAAGAAAGAAACATTTCATAATATTGTTCTGTAATTTGCTTTTTTGATTTTATAATATATCATAGACATCTTTTCGTATCAGTATATTTGGATCTACCTTATTCTTTTTAATAGGTACAGAATATTTCATTGTTTGGTTGTACCATAATTTATTTCAGTAACTAGCCCAATACTGGTGGGCATTTAGGTTGTTTCCAATTATTTTTTTTTCCTTTGTTCCATATTATTTTTTACCAACCAAAGTCTCTTACCACAAAGAACCACAGTCAAGGCACAAAGGTAAGAGGAGGAGAGTCTGGACAAAGTCCTTTTGAGGTGGTAAGAGGAACTGAATAAATTGTAGTTTCTTGTCTCAGTCTTCTGTGAAGATTACCCAAAGAGCAGATAATTCAAATCATTTTAGTTTGGTTTGGCATGCATCACTTTACCTTTTATGACAATATATGTACCCTAAAGTCGTTTATTTTGGCCTAGCATTAAAACGACTTACATTCTCTGAAAAGGGGAATGGCAAAGGGTGAAGGATAGCAACAAATACGCAGAAGTCTGGCTCTTGTGTTCTAAGCCAGATGCACACAGGCCAAAGGAAGTTGCCTTTCTGGCCCCTCCGTACACACACCACCCTCTTCTACCCTGTCCTCAGGGTGAGAAAAACTCCATTACCTTTCTTGCTTTCTGTCTCGGATACCTTCGCCAGATAACAAGACTGACAACTTGGGAGTAGCTACTTAGTAACACATTCTTTAAGGCCAGGGCTTTGGATAGAAATACCTTTCTCTTTCCTCTGATACCTGACTCTCTTTTCCAAGTTCTTTTGGGGAAACAGTGAAAGGGTGGATGTGTCTTGCAAGATCTTCTCCACCTTGCCTCTGGAGAGGAGCAAAGTGACTGACTTCTTAGAGACAACCAACTGTAAGGAGGCAGGCAATAGCCAACTTTGCTGAAGGCTGAGGCAAGGACTTGGGTTCTCCTCTGCCTTCTTCTCACCCTCTCCTCCCCACCTTCCCACCCCTGGCCAATCCTACTCATGGCAAACTTACCCTGGGAATAGAAGACGAAAGAAACCTCCTTCCCTTCATTGGTCTCTAGTAATCTTTTCCTTTAGTTCCCTTCCCTGACCTTCTTTCTGATTTTCTGATGCCCATTCTCTGCCCTCAGAAAAACTCCTCAACTTCTAGACCCATGAGAGCAACTGTCATTTATATTTCTTCAATCTAGAGGTATACAGACCCCTGTGATCTACCTGAAGAAACAAGACTATTCTGAGTCAAAGAATCCCCTGAAAAGATGTACAGGGGTTTGTTTCCTCCTCTTTAAGCAAGTCAGAACCTCACAGATTTTTTAATTCTGGAAAAGCCTTTCCTTCCTTCCCAACCCATCCTTGTGCAATAGAAGACCTGACGGACTTCATGGGAGACAACCCCCTGGGAACAGCTTCCCACCCTGACAATCAGGAGGGAGACACAGCTATGCTCTCTCATCACAGCCCAGTCCTAACTACTCCGCACAAACCATCCTAGAAACCGAGGCATTTCTCCACGATGATTCAGGACTGGAACCAGACAGACATGAAGACGTTCCAGCAGGACATAGGAAGGAAGGCCCATAGCATTTGACCCTGCCTCACCCCAGTTATTCCCACGTCCCAACCTGTCACTCCCAATCTGTCAGGGGCCTGATGGTAAGCGGTGCAGCATTCTTCCGACCAGCCTGGATGCCTGGGTAGAAGAGGGGCCAAAGTTTCTCAGTAAAAGTATCATTGAAAGTGTAGATATGAGAGCGATCTGTGACATTGTAAAAGGACAGTGTGCCGGCCTCCAATTATTTTTAATGCAAACTGTACTGCAAAAAAAATTATACTTACATTTTAGGATAATTTTACAAATATTTCTTTAGGATAGGATAAATTCATAGAAGTGTAGGAGTGCTGGATCAAATAGTATGCACATTTAATATTTTGATAGAAGCTATCAAATTTGCTCTTCAGAAGCCTATCATTCATTTTATATTTTTGGATAACATTGAGTTGAAAGAAATAATCAGTTGCTGAAAATCTTTGTTTTCTTTTTTTAAGAGACAGGGTCTCTCTCTGTTGCCCAGGCTAGAGTGCATTGGCATGATCATAGCTCACTGCAACCTAAAACTTTTGGGCTTAAGCAATCCTCCTGCCTCAGCCTCCTGAGTAGTTGGGACTAAAGGCACCTGCCACCATGCCAGTCTAATTCTTTTTATTTTTTGTAGAGCTGGGGTCTCGTTATGTTACCCAGGCTGGTCTTGAACTCCTGGGTTGAAGCAGTCCTCCTGCCTTGGCCTCCCAAAGTTCTGAGATTACAGGCATGAGACACTGTGCCTGGCCTTAAAGATCTATTTAAATATAACAACTTCTCCAGTATTTCCACCCAGTTTTCAAAGTATCTTAAATAATTATTTAAAAAGTCATGTTAATGTCATCTTGATTAAGCTCTTTAAAGCAATGAGTAAATAGTGTTTTGAATTTTTTAAAAAGAGCCACTATGGACGACTTTAGTATAGTATCTGCATATTAAGAGGATAACGTAGAAGTTTTTTTAAACTTAGTTGTATTTATGAGAATGACTACATGGAATTTGCATTGTCAAGTCAGGGTGTGCTGTTTTAATCTAAATAGGTCCTTTCTCCCTCTCTCCCCATACCTCCCCTAGTCCCCAGCCTTCCCAAAGTCAAAGTTTTAGTCTAAATGGAAATGAGGAAAGTACTATAAGAGCCAGTGCATGACATAAAAGGTAAAATCAGATCATTTCCTAGGAAGCTTATATCTAAGTGAAATATCTTTCAATCATAACTATTCTTTTTGAGATTTGGGAAAATATAGTTGGCTGTTCATTACGAAATGGTTTTACTCCTCTCATTCAGGCAAAGGAAAAATTGATATTCAAGCATATCTAAGTCAATGGCAAGATGAGCTTTTGAAAAAAGAAGAAAACATTAAGGATTTACCAAGAATGAATCAGGTATAGTGTTTTCAAAGAGAAAGTTCTAGGTTCTTGCTTTTTTTTGCATGAGTATCAGTATAACCAACTCTAAAACAGCTAGTGTGCTATTAAAAAATAGTTAAATAATCTATGTATCATCTCTGTAAGTTTCAAATGAGTACAAAAGAGTGGGAACAAATTTTTAATGATATTTTACTTTAAACACTTAAAGGCATCTAGTGTTTCAGATAATTCCTCTGCTATGACATTTGTACCTATAGAACAAAATGTATGTATAATGTATTTCCAGCTTTGTTGGAAATGTTCATTTATTCAGTAAACATTTTTTTAGTGCCAACTAGATGCCAAGCTCAGTGCTAGGTACTAGGAACAAGAAATTACTGAGATAAGTCAGAACCCTAGTTCCTAATAATCTTATATTTGAACCTGCTCAGGCAACACTAATAAACTACTATTGACACAATTTTAAATTCATCTCTTTCTTATATATTATCCAGTCAGAATATGTTCTTATTTTTTTTTTTTTAGTTAAAATCTGGTTGGTACAGATACTAAGGGATCCCAAGAACTTTACCAGAATGAGAAGTGTCAAATAACTTAGTATTTCTCAATAGACTATGTAATTTGACTATTGAATAAGTACTTTTTAAAATGAGTCAGTATGATATATTTATTCTAAAATTATGGAAGAAAGAAATAAAATTTAAACATTTGTTTTATATTATTATGAGTTGTACCCTTTGTATTTGCTTTTTGTTTACAGACAAACTTTTCTGGTAGGATGATTGACTTATAGGACTCTTGTGTTGGAATCACTTTTTAAAATTGACAGATAACTTCCTGGAATGTCTATGGATTATCTAGTGGCAATTAACAGAAAAAGCAGTTTGTGTCTCCACTTAGGCCCCACCTAAGCCTTTAAAAAGACACATGTCCAAATGTGTTCTATGGAGCTATCTTGTACTACTAGATAGGTCCCAGGTCATTTTTTCCCTAAATTTAATCCATCCTAGCTGAGCTACCCATTCAAATCATTTGAGATCAAGTGGAATTCATTCTTAATCATTTTGTTAAGATTGGTTAATGAATTAATGATTTACACGTACAGAAATATAGGGCTTTGCCTAATTAAAAGTACCCCCTCACATTGAAGTAATGCTGGCAGGCACTGCTATTAGGCAATAAATGAGAGGACTTAAATTTTCTTCCGTGGTTCATACTCATCTTTCTAGAACGAAGATTTATTTGGAGACTAATCATCAGTTCTTACAACATCTAGGGTGAAGGTTATATGGTACAAATTCTATATGGAAGACTAATCACTTCTTAATTCTCTTTATATTCGCTAAGTCTAATATTCAAATGTGATATTTCCAACTTGTGTCTTCTAGTCACAATTTATTCAGTTTTCAAAGACCCTCTATAACTTATTTCATGAGGACCCTGAAGAAGAGTCATTATATCAAGCCATTGCTGTCGTAACCAGCCTTTTGCTTAGAATGGAAGAAGTTGGAAGAAAACTGCATAGCCCTACATCATCAGCCAAAGGATTCTCTGGTACAGTCTGTGCTTCTGGAGGACCCAGTGAGAGGGAAACAGAGAGCCACTTGGAGAAAGATCCCTCCTCTCCTAAGGCAGAACCTCAGTGGTCATTTGCATTTGAACAGATTCTTGCATCTCTCTTGAATGAACCAGTTTTGGTGAGGTTTTTTGAGAAACCCATAGATCTAAAAGCCAAGCTAGAAAATGCAAAAACCTCTCAGTTAAGGTCTAGAACCAAGATGTAAATCTCTTAAAAGGAATTACTTATCATAGACAAGTTTACCAAGATTCCTATAGCTATCAGCTTGATTCCTGGGAGTAGGGCTCAGGGATTTATCTTGTTATCAATGTGTTTAAAGGCAAAAAAAAAAATTCAGAAGCACAATGCATCATTCCTTTATGATAATCTCAAATTTTGATACTCTCAAATACAAATATACTTTTTTATATTTCACAAGATATGCAATATCAGGGGAGTATGCAAATGCTACCACCAGAGGGCACCAGCATATCACTTTTAGTAAGGAAATTACTAGATTGTTTTGCTTTTTATATATGAATTACTGATGATTTTGAAAAGATGGTGTTATGTTTGAGTGTTAGTAATGCTGTTATGTCATATCAAGAAACCCTTCTTTCCAAATTGTCTCAGTCCTATTAGAATGCTTTAGAAAACTGGGCTCTTAGTTTAGAGCCTTAATTATCTAGATTGGGACCATTTAGGACACTCATTTTCAAGTTATTTAACAAAAATACTGTTAAGTTTTTAAAGTTAATCTCATTCAGTCTTCTAGTGATGATTTTTTAAGTAACTTATGCATTCTTCCTACCTGAGTGGTTCAGAAGCTACTAACTCAACGCTGCTAACTCTGATACTGATAAAAGCAAATTAAGAACTCTAAACTCTGGCCTGATATAAGGAAAAGTAATATTGGATTTGGATTAAAAGTTGGATAAAGTCAGCCTTCTCAGAAGAGTTAAGAAACAGTTCAATTAACTGTATAGGTATCTCATTAGACTGAGAAATTATGAGGAAATTCTCTGAGAACTGCTGTTTGTGGCATTTTTCTCAGACTAGCTTATGTCTGCTTTGGTTCTAGCTTAAGGTTTTAGATTTTCACCAGTCATGTTTTAATTTACATTAGATAGTAAAGAATAGTTACACTAAGACTTAATTGTGTTAGTCTGGGAAGCACATCAAGTGTATTTGTGTGTAATGATTGCCAAGGTCAGGTATGGAATTGCTGACGTCTATCTAAAAAGTTTTGACTATCTGATTTAGATGTGTAATTTCTATATATTTTATGCTGCTTTCACTTTAGTCATTACAATGACAGTCCATGTAGAGATAATGGGTTTTATTAGCACTTTAACAAAGCAACCACACTTGTCCACTTCCATGCTATTTCTGACAAGAACAATTTATTAATCAGTTGACTTAGGAAGTTGGAGGAGAAATCATCCATTGGCACTTCTTTCTTCACAAGAGACTTTGGTCTCAAGCCATTTGACTTGTCTAGATGTGAAACAATGGAGGGACAGACCACCTTAGAGTGATCCAAGAAGTCTGCCTTTCTGGGAGAGAATTGGTACAGTCAGCCTTTGGCAAGAATCCACTGTGAACAAAGCCTAACACAGACGCTTCATCATCATAGAATATGTTACTTTCAGAAAAGTTAAAGAATTTTCAAGTTGAATCTTTGAAACTTTCATAAATTGAGTTTAGCTAAACAATATTAGTGTCTTTTAAATGATTTGATCAAGCTTGTCTTTTCAAGGAAATTACCACTTAAAGAGACAGTTGGTAAATAAGCATCCATGCTTTTGCTCCAAAAGATTTGCTGAAATATGTCCACATTTTAAAGTTTAATTAATAGTTTATATGAAAACTATCACACATCTGCTATTATGTAATGTTTATTAAATTACACTACAGTAGCTCTAGAAAGACACACAGTCTGTGCTTGTATACAAAAGCACTTCTATACACACTTGGTTGAATATTTTGCCAATTGTATTTACAAAGGAAGATACTTTCTTAAGAGCATATGTTATTAATATTTGATATGGTTTTAAAGTCAGAATAGTGAAGATTATTATTATATTTTAGCCTAGATTAATTAAAATTGAATAGATTCTTGAGTTGCAAAAAGATTGTAAATGCAAAATAAAAAGACAAACATTTATTTTCTGAGTCTGCAGGAGAAACAAGCTGAATATTATAGTTTTATAGCTACTGTTTTGTTAAGCAAATGGGTTGTTCTTAACATTAAAATCTTATGTAATTGTTTCAAACTGAACCAGTGCATTATACCTTATATGTTAAATTAAATATGTTATGTTTATTGTCTTTATAAAAATAAATATTATAAATCTATATTAAATGTGAAAAATAGTTTACTTTAAAATGTGAATATTATTTACTATGATGTCTTTTTATTTATACTTAATAGCACTTGAAGACTTCCCTCCTGTATTAGTTAGGATTCAGTTGCAGAGAACAAAATTCACTCTAATTATTTCAGGCAGAAAAAGATTTATTATTGGATATTAAGTGGCTTACATAATTATCAGGAGGACTGACTAAACTGAGCTTTCAAGAACAACATTCAAAGCCATACCACTACCAGGCCACCAAAGGAGTCACTAACTCTTCAATGATTAGAAAACTGCTACTTCCTACTGCCATAATAAAAAGCCATCACTACTGCTGCTACCTCTCGAACCATGCTCCATCTGCTGTGATTTATATCATCAGCAAAATAGATACCATGCACCCTTGCCTCTCAGCACCCACAAGCTAGTGACTAAATTGCAATAGAACAGCCAGACATCTTCACAAGCATGTTTAACAGCAGGAATTGCAAAAGCATAGCCTCCACCTCGCTTCTGTCATTCATATCTCACATTTATGCATCTAATTGGTCTATTATAAATCCAGAATCCTAGTTGCAAAGGAATCTGGGAAATGTACTTTTAGCTTTTTAGCCTCTGCAGTACAGGAAGTTGTACTAAGAGGGTGGAAACCACATTGAACAGTGTGTTTGTTTTCTATTGCTGCATAACAAATTACAACACTCATTTATTATCTCACCATTTCAATGAGTCAGGACTCTGGGCTCAACTTAGCTGGGTCCTCTTCTTAGTATCTCACAAGGCTCCAACCAAGGCATCAGTTGGGCTGGTTCTCATGTAGAAGCTCAACTAAGGAAGAATCTACTTCCAAGCTCACTCAGGCTGTTTGCAGAATTCCTTTCCTTAGGGTTGTAGGTCTGGGAGCACCAGCTTATTGCTGGTAGTCAGCTGGAGGCCACCCTCAGCTTCGCGAGGCTTCACTCAGTTCCTAGCAGCTGCCCTCAGCTTCTACAGGCCGCCCACAGTTCCTTGCCACACAGGCTTCCCCCAAATGGCCACTTCATCAAGCCAGCAAGGAGAGTCTAGAGCAAGTCTGCTAGCAAGGCAGTGTTTTGTATAATGTATCACAGCAGTGACATCCCATCCCCTTTGCCGTGTTGTGTTGGTTAAAAGAAAGTCACAGGTCCTGCCTACACTCAAGGGGAGAGGATTATACAAAGGCATGAACATCAGGAGGCAGAGATAATAGGGGGAAGCTCCATAGAGTCTGTCCACGACAAGCACCATTCCATGTTACTCACCTTTTTTGCCATGCAACACACTTCTAATCCCATACTTCTAAATAACTGCTGATAGCAACAGAAGCATGATCCCAACTGTTATAAATCTCCCTCATACAAAAGTGCACTAATATTCTCTGCTAAGGAAAGATCCAAGTTTCCATCAGTTACTTGGCTCTATCGATGAGTGATGTTGACTCCTAATTCAGTCTCAAGCCCATATTGATATCCTGTAATATGTGGACTAAATTACAAAGTCAATTACCATCAACTCACCTTATATAAAACAGTAGGGGAAAAGTAGGGAAATAGATTATTATATACCTAAAAGAGACAAGGGAAGATGATGGGTAACTACTAAGTCTTCATTTCTGCAACTGGTCACATGGCTATAGTTATATTTTGGGTTTTTTCTATTATACAATAAAATTTTTGGTGCATGTTTCTAAGAATTTTATAATAACACAAGTATACTTGTAACCATCACAACAATTAGAACACAGAATAATTTCATAATCCTAAAAAGACTCCTTCACGCTATCCCTTTATAGTCACACCCTAACAACCACTGATCAGTTCTCTGCCCACCATATAAAAGACCAGATGTTTGCTTTCCCAGCATCCCCGCCCCTTGCAGCCATGTGACAAGAAATGGTTAATCAGAATCTTCTGCCTGGAATTTCTCAGTCTATAGGAACTAGGAGGGAAAGTGAAGAATACAGTACATTCTGGTGGCAGTAGTGGCATCTTCACATCAACACTGTAGTTCTACGATAGGATTTAGAGTGCTTTTGAATGCCCAGACTTTCTTTATCCCCCACTTCTAGGAGGAGTTGCTTAGTGGTTCTATGAGCCGAACAGTCCAATAAACATTTCCCTCTTTTCCTTTATCAGCTAGAATATTTTTTGGCTTTAAAGTAAGATAGATACATGTAACACTGGGGGCCCTGTAGCACTGGATCCCTCAAGGCAAGGCAAATTATTCCAGTACCTATATTCATAGGCACATAATCGCCACATGAAGCACATTTTATCCTTTATCTCACATTATGCTGCAATTCCTATTTCTGTCATCAGAACTACATGTTTCTCCCATCCCAGAAGCATCAAGTAATAGATTCCCTAGCTCCTAATTCTACTTGTCTTCCCTTGCAGGTAATGTCTTTTTTTATGACCGCTTTTAAGATTTTGATGTTTCCAATGTTCTGCAGTTTATAAATTATCTAGCGTTTTAAAAAATCCTGTTTGGGATTAATGATTAAATTTTGATAATCAACTATCATTCTCCAAGACCTATCTACCTTCTTCACAGGCCAAACAGGCAAGTTAAATGAGAATGTGATAGCAATCACCCCCACCTCCCATACACAAACACATTCTTCAAATCTTTGGTGCATACTCATCTCTGATTTCCCTAGGGATATGATATTGACAGATTCAGTAAATTCTACTTGGCCCTTTTTACCATAAGTAGTTCTTACTACCCTGGTCAAGGAACAAATGTATATCTGTCAGTTGCTGATTGTGGCTATTTCAAGTATGCATTCATGGACTAAGAAATAACCACATTATGTATTTGTAGATCCAGTAAACCTATTCTAGATGGATTTAGATAAAACTGTGTCCCTTGATTCCATAAGCCCTGACTCTCAGTAGTGGAGGATCATTGTGTTCTAACCCCCTCCAGTCTCCCCTAGGGATGAATGTGAACTCAGAGTCAGTGTCCCATAATCTCTGAAAGTGTATTTCTAATTTCTCAGTGCATAGTAACCCAGTAAATGGCCACAGACTCCTCTGGCCAAAAAGAGAAAGGAAAGCTAGAAAGAAAATTTACAACACATACTTTACGGTATTGCAGACTCCTTTCTCAAGGGTAACTGACTTTCCCTGTGAAGGCCTCTGGGTGTGTGAACAGACTCAGATCTGCAAATTGGGTGAAAGGCCATAAATCTACATCATAATGATTCAAATTAGGTCTCTGTTCACCAGACATTGAAATATTTTGGCTATATAAATCAAGTAAGAATTAGCAGGCTGCTCATTTGTTTTAATCTAAGAGACCTGAGGAATAATTAACCACTATCATACTTTTCAGCAGGTCAAAACATTCAAGATTACTTCTCTGGCCACATTATTATATTCACCATGCTCAACACATCTCTGGTCATTAAGTGTTAACACTTGTTCTTTGCCATTCTAGGTTCCCATTATTCTCACTGAAATTAGCAAGTTCTTGTCAATGATAGCATGAACTAAGAAATTAAGAAGACTTAACAATTAATAGTTAAAATGTCCATACTACCCAAAGTGATCTACAGATTCAATGCAATTCCTATCAAAATACCAATGACATCCTTCAGAGAAATAGAAAAAAAATCCTAAAATTTGTATGGAACTACAAAAGACCCCAAATAGACAAAGCAATCCTGAGCAAAAACAACAAAACCGGAGACATTGCACTACCTGACTTCAAAATATACTACAATGTTATAGTAACCAAAACAACATGATACTGGCATAAAAACAGACACATACGCCAATGAAATAGAATAGAGAACACAGAAATAAATCCACATATTTACAGCCAACTGATTTTTGGCAAAGGTGCCAAGAACATCCAATAGGGAAAGAAAACAGTCTTTTAAATAAATGATGCTGGGAAAACTGGATATCCATATGCAAAAGAATAAAACTAGAACCCTCTCTCTTGCCATGTGCAAAATCAGCTCAAAATGG